AAAAAAATGAACAAAATAAAAAATTATGATTGGTGGAATGAGGTTTTTACGGTTTTTACAAATTGAGTGGTTTTCATTTGATCGCGCCCCTATATAATTGTATTTATGTTCATTGATCAACTTTATAAACTAATGATGTGGAGTCCAGATTTCATACAAATCTTGATATGATTTTCATAGATTGATATGAACACTAAGAATGATGTAAGTAATGATTAGGAGAGAGAGAATTACATCAGCTAAATCTTGATTTCAGTGTTAATGACAAAAGCTCTAATTACAATTACAAGGAAATTCCTATTTATACTAGAAAAGTAAAGACTAAAATATTACAAATAAAACTATTATAAGGAGAAACTTGATACAACTTTTAAGCTCTAACCTTGAACCCAACATTTTCCCCCTTTGGATTCAAGTTTGGACTCTTGTGAATTTCGTTTTGCGCAGTCCAAGTATCTTCTCCAACCGTCTCAGAGCATTTCTATATTGTAACTTTTCCTCGAGCAAATTAATAGCATTAACAAGCAAGTATCTTTCTTTGGGATTCATACGTTATGATTCCACAGCCTTATCATCACTGACTCTCTTTGATTCCAACGCCCTCTTTACCAGCTTGATCGTACCATCAGAGTACTTGTTTAGCTCGCTGAATCTCATAAACTTTTTAACCTGAAGTTGAGCAAAGTAAATGACTCCGAACTCTGGGCTTTCAAGAACCATATAGACTGGATATCCATCAATGTCTTCAAGCTCCTCATTTGGTCTTTTGAGGTTAATAATCTTCTAACTATCTTCAAGACCCATTTGAACATCGATGATCATTGACAACTTGACATGATTTCGAATAAATCTTTTAATCGCCTCCAGAGCTATCAGTTCTACTTCCTTTCTAATTTGCATGTTCTTGAGTTCAAAGTACATATACTCGAGATCGTCCAAGTATAAGTTTGAGAAATCAGCTTCACTAAACCTCCAGATCTGGCCATCCTGCCTTGTAACGATAAAAACAGGATACCAGATTTTGCGTAGTCTCTGAGCATCAATTTGTTTAATCGTGACAATTCTGTGCTTTGTACGAACTTGGCTGATGGGCTGACATTTGGCTTTCAACAGATGACGATATTCAATTCTATATTCTTTAGGCTTCTTGTGGATACCCAGAACTCTATCACCACAAATCAGTTTTCTGTGGCGAATGAATATCCCAAAGTAGATTTCTTCCAAATATGGCTCTCGAATTCATTCACGATCATATCCAAAGAAATTAGCTCTGATGTGGAATGGAACATAATTCTTTGTAAATATTTCTRTAGGATCAACAGTCTCTTTTGAAACATTGATTTCAGGTGCATCAGGTAGAACAGCAGTTGATGATTCT